CTGGCTTCCCTGGCCTTCTCCGGGCCCAGCGACCCGCACGTCCTCAACAAGCACAACCAGAGCTACGGCTGTGGCGTGGGGCGCCACGGCAACGTGCCCAACATCATCCTCACAGGTGAGCCGCCGGCCGACCCCACAGTGCGCTGGGGTCCCCAACACTGGCCCTCCAGGTCCGCCCCCCATCTTAGTGTCTGAACCCTGATGTGCAGTTCTCACCCAGACTCATTTGGATCAATGTAGATGGAGGTGAACTAACTTACCCATTTTTGTCAGATTTTTTAAGCAGGAAATGAACCAAGAAGATCTGATCTGTATTATAATAATAATGGCTCACACTTCTATAGCGCTTTTCTGGACACTCCACTCAAAGTGCTTTACAGGTCATGGGGATCCCCTCCAGCACCACCAGTGTGTATCCCCCACCTGGATGATGCTCCAGTCTGCTCCCCACACACCAGCTCTCAGTGGGGAGGAGAGCAGAGTGATGAAGCCGGTTCAGAGATGGGGGTTATTAGGAGGCCATGATTGGTAAAGGCCAGGGGGAAATTTGTCCAGGACACTGGGGTAACACCCCGACTCTTTTAGAGAAACGCCCTGGGATTGTAATGACCACAGAGAGTCAGGACCTTGGTTTTACGTCTCATCCTAAGGACGGTGCCTTTATTGTGTCCCAGTCACTATACTGGGTCATTAGGACCCACACAGACTGCAGGGTGAGCGCCCTCTACTGGCTGTACTCACACCTTATCCAGCAGCAGCCTCAGCTTTCCCAGGAGTCTCCCATCCAGGTACTGGCCAGGCTCACACCTGCTGAGCTCCAGGGGGCTGCCAGCTGGGAGCTGGCCTGAGAGACTCTGCTGTAGCCCAAGGGTAACGCAAAGAAATGAAGGAAATTGTTAATTCCCCTCTGCAATCACACTCTTTAATAATGCGAAGGAATTATTTTATCTCCTGAAACGTTGTTTGTCAGAACCTCTTTTTTGGAGGAGGTGGTGGTGGTTTAATTGTGTTGGGCTCTGCCACAAAACACAACAACAAACACATGGTGATCATGCTGGACTTGACTGCTAATAAATAATAATAATAATAATAATAATAATACGCTTTATTTTATATAGCGCCTTTGAAGGTGGCCTCTCAAAGCGCTCTACAGAAGGACAACACCAATAATAAAAAACAAACATGAGATAAGCAGGGTGAGAATACATAGTAGGAGGAGACGGTAGATGGAGGTACTGAATACAGTAGGAGCAGAGGGGTAAAGAACAGAACCAGTTCAGAAAAGGCTCTTCTAAAGAAGACGGTTGTGAGTTTGGCTTTGAGTTTAAAGAAGGTGAGTCTCCGATCTTCCTTGGGGAGAGAGTTCCAGAGCTTGGAGGCATAACAGGAGAAGGGTCTGTCACCCACAGCGTGTAGACGGGCTCGGGGATCTTGGTTTGCGTCCTGCCTGCTTGAGCTGTCTTTGAGAGCCCTGTACTAAGGGAAGACACCCGTGAACTGACCCGTGAAGATAAGGCACCCGACCACAGAGAGGGGGTTCTGGAACCCGGAGCAGCCCGCTGTGATCTGAGGGCTTGTCCTTCTGGCCCGCAGGGGACTCTCCGCCGGGCCTGTCGAAGGAGATCACCAGCGCGCTGGCGGGGGTGCCGGGCTTCGAGGTGGATCCCTTCTCCCTGGACGACTCGCTGGCGCTGGAGGGGCTGGGCATCCTGGCGGACGGAGACCTGATGCTGCCCGACCCGTCCGTGGAGGACAGCTTCCGCTCCGATCGGCTCAAGTGAGGGGGGGGGGCCACCCGCCCGCCTGCCCGCTCGTTCCCTCATTCCGATGCAGAGAGGGCAGGGGAGGGGTGGGGTGGGGGGTCATGACCTGCGTTGTTTCGGTCTTGCTTTCCCTTGTGGGTGACTGCCCTGTCACAGCTTTGCCATTCTCATTGGTCTGCTTTTTAGGGAGCCCCAGTTCTGCCTGTTG